AATCCAGTTGCCTGCTCAAAGCAGCACCATCCCCAACTAGATTATCCCAGCCAAGGCTTTGTCAGCCTGGGTCTTAAAAACCTCCAAGGACAAAGAGTCCACAATGTCTCTGGGTGACCTCTTCCAGTGCTTTACTTCCCTCCTCGTGATGTTTCCTAATATCTAACCTAAACTCCCCTTGCTACAACTTGAGACCACTGCTCCTTGTCCTGTCACCTGCCACCACTGAGAACAGTCTACCTCAGGCAGGGCTGGATCATCTCTTTAGTGGGTCCTAGGCAAACAAACTCGTATGCTAGTTTGAGGCTAGTTGAGACCCCCCTCCCTGCTCCCCAGACGGGGCCATTCACGCTGCTGCTGCTCCTGCTGCTGCTGCTGCCAGGTGTGTGGGGGGGAAAGGACTGCTCTCCTTTCCCCTTCCCAGCTCAGGGCCCTAGGCATGTGCCTAGTTTGGCTAGATGTTAATCCACCCCTGAGTTCGGGGTGCTCAGCCTTGGGCCTGTGGACCAAATGCAGGCTGCAGAGCATGCAACCAGTTGGGAAATTCAGTGGCAGGGGAGCCCTGGCAAGCCATACTGCCAGCTCCCCTCCCTCCCTCCCTGCTCAGATCAGAGCCAGGCCACGCTCCCTCCACATGGCTGGATGGGGCCCCTCTGCAACCACCCTGGCTGCTGGATTGGGACCCACGGCGGGCACTGCCCATCCATCCCGCCGGCCAAGACGGGCAGGCACCACGGGTCTCGCTCCACTCTCCATAGCAAGGGTGGCTGCAAACTTGACTGCTAGGCAACCATGACCAGAGCCCGCAGAGGTCCCTGGGCCCCAAGCAGGGGTCTCCCCTCAAGTCCCTTTTACTTTTTCCTGCTATCGCCTGAGTGCCCGCCTGCCAGGTGCGGGCTGGGTGCCAGGCTCTGCTGTGCGGTGCGTGCAGCCCACTAAAGCGGGACTCCTTTCACAGCCGTGCCCCCGGGCTCAGCCCGGCTCGTGGCCTCTACGGCTCGTGGGTTCGGTGGGGACCTCAGCCAACATGGCCCAAACGCCCCAGACCTCCGTAGCTGCCCGACTGGCCCCGGCTCCAGAGGCCCAGCGCAGATCGGCCCGCAGGCCGCCTCCCATTGGCTGCCGCCAGCCCGGCGGGTGTTTGCACACGGCCCCCCGAGCCTCTCCACCGCATCAACGCGCTCTGGAGCGGCCAGAAACTACCGCTTCCAGCGTGCACCGGGGCCACGGACGGTGGCCGGCGGGAAGCGCTGCACGTTGGTAG